TTAATTAAAACTTGACATTACATTCAAAAAGGTTTCAATCTGTTTCCATTTTTTATATTTAAAAGGAGTCATAATAATTTGATGGATACACATATACAGACAGATCACTAAATAGATGGACAGACAGATCGATAGATGGACAGACCGATAAATAAATAGATTGATTGTTAGCTAGATTGATTGCTAGTTAGATGGACAGATAGATAAACTAAAAAAAAAAACTTCTAAATAAAAGTATGAATTCAATTTAAATAAATGAAAGATTATTGGAATATGTTTTACAAGAAAATACTTCTTCAGTCTTTTTTGTACTTAAAAATGTCATGTTTAATTCAATGTGTTAATTGCCCTTTCTTTGTAATTAAGAAATTTACTAGCAATTTCTGAGTGAATTGTTTTGATGCCATTTCTTTTCAAGATCAGATAGATCGATAGATAGTTATCTATCTATCTATCTCTCTCTATCTCTCTCTCTATCTATCTATATCTTTGCATATCAATGCCTATGCTGTCATTTTTTTAACATTTTAGTATAATGTAGTTATTTATTTTATATTATCCCTACTTATTATTTTAGTTACATTGTTTCAACAGTTCTCTAATTCTGTAGAGGGTCTACTTGAGTTTTTGCTAGTTTTGAGAGTGGTCCTCCTGTGTGGCAAGCTTATGAATGAATCATGTTTACCATTGTTCTGGTCACGTGACCTACACTCCCACACCCATTTGCAGCGTGTCTCCATGGCAGCAATCTCGAAGAGAGTTCACGCATTCAGACGCTCCTGAAATGGAACCCGCGGAGCGCGTGTATGTTTTTAAAAATTATTTATTTATTTATTTTCTAATTTGGTTGTGGTGGGTGTCTCGAGGTGGCACAGAGTGGCCTTTTTAAAAATAGCGCAGTGGCTAAAATAGCCTTGCATGAACGGCTAAGCAGAGAGTTCAGACAAAGCCTCATGCCGAGAGCTGACCTGCTTCTATTATTGCACTCTTGTAACGGTCTAGTGAGCTACATCGTGAGAACGCGAGATCAGCAAGTAAACAGGGTAACCCTTGTCTCACTGATATTGTACAGAGTTGTGCTGACCTCTGCTGGTCGCTCTAGGTAACTTCATTTAACTCAGCAGTTTTATTGCCAATGTGCATGACACGTGCAACCACAAAAAATGTCCCTTAATAGTAAAATATTTTTTATATATATATATATATATGTATGTATACATGTATGTGTGTGTATAATATATGCTAATTCCTTTCTGTTCTTTTCTTTAGACAGATTTTTGAGGAGTTCTGACTAGCTGCTTGTATGCAGGGCATGACGACTCATTTTAAAGCGGGCAAAGCTTTAAAGGTAAGAACATTTCTCTGTGGTTCATAGATTTGATATGATTTATCTATTATTTAAAGCAAGGGTCTCCAAACTCGGTCTTGGAGGGCCGCGTCCTGCAGAGTTTAGCTCTAACCCTAATTAAACACACCTGAACCAGCTAATTAAGGTCTTCCTGGGCATACTAGAAACTTGAAGGCAGGTGTGTTGAGGCAAGTTGGAGCAAACCTCTGCAGGACACCGGCCCTCCAGGACCAAGTTTGGAGACCCCTGATCTGAACTATTATTATCTGGAATGTTTATTATCTAAAAACTTGAGGGGTGAGAAAAGTTTATTTTCCATGTTATATGGATGGCCCAATATATTTCGTACATATTTAGTACCATATTTTTTCAGTGGTCACTTAATCTTAATAATTTTAGCCTTCTATTATATTTAATTATATAATATTACTAGTATATATATATATATTTTTTTTTTAAATGTGCGTGTTTATTGTTAATTGTAACTTTATAGGAGATTTTGGAAAAAAAATTACTGTTCAAAAGTTTGGGGTCATACGATTTTTTTTAAATTCTTGAAAAATTTTTAAATCTCTCCAAGGCTGCATTTATTTTGTCAAAAATACTGTAAAAACCGTATTATTGAGAAATACTTTTATGGTAAAAACAACTGTTTTGTATTGTAATATATTTTAAAATGTAGTTTATTCCTGCGATGGCAAAGCTGAATTTTCAGCATCATTACTCCAGTCTTCAGTGTCACATGATCACTCAGAAATCATTTTAATATGCTGATTTGCTGCACAAGAAACATTTATCATTATTATCAGTGTTGAAAACAATTGTGCTTTTTTCTGGGATTACAGTAAGCTCTAAATAACAGAATCTATTTGAAATCGAAATCTTCTGTAACATTGTAGTGACCTTTACTGTCACTTTTGATCAGATTAATGCATCCTTCATAAATAATAGTATTAATAAGTATTAAAAAACTTTTGAACTGTAGTATATTTACTATCTAGTTAAAACCTTCTTTTTGTTTCTCTATTGAATTTCAAGGTGAGAAATGATGGTAAAATGATGGTAAATTTGATGAAACTCTGTTATGTGGTTCAGTTCAAGAAGGAGGTGGGTGAGAATGCCCCGGCGGTCAGTGATGATGAGCTGGTGGCCATGTCGGTGCGGGAGCTCAACCAGCACCTGCGCGGGTTGACAAAGGAAGACATGGTCCGGCTGAAGCAGCGGCGGCGCACGCTAAAGAACCGCGGTTACGCTGCCAGCTGCCGCATCAAGCGTGTCACACAGAAAGAGGAGCTTGAACGGCAAAAAACAGAGCTGCAAAAAGAAGTGGACAAACTGGCTCGTGAAAACGCCAGTATGCGACTGGAGCTGGACGCGCTTCGTGCTAAGTATGAGGCCCTGCAGTGCTTTGCCCGGACTGTCACCCGCGGGCCTTCCGGTAAGGTGGCCACCACCAGCGTCATCACTATTGTCAAGTCTGCCAATCACAGCCCCAGCTCTGCCCCTTTTTCGGCACCTTCGTAGTGCTGATCGACATTGCCTGCCCAGCTCCTTCTGGTCCAATCCGGCTCTGAACCTAGACTGACCCACTGGCCGCCGCTCAACCCACACTGAGAGGAAGCTCAGTGGTTAGACTGAGGGGAGGGTGGAGGCCTTAATCTGCGTGACTCCAACAGGCTGCATCTATTTTTTCATTTCTCTCTCTTTTACACACTCACAAAACACGCATACATATCTATATTGTCTGTGCACTGTGCTATAACCTCCGGCACCGGCAGGGCACATTGACCACTCTTTCAACCTCACCACAGGCTGAGACTTAGCAGAGATGAGCACTTGTTAAAGTGTGAGATAGTACTTGACTAAACCTGCCATGGCAGCACTGGTTCGACAGCTATGATGCCCATGACAAATATTATTCATATTTATATTTTAAACATACACTACCGTTCAAAAGTTTGGGGTCAGACTCAGTATGTTTTTTTTTTGTAAGAAATTAATTATTTTATTCATCAAGGATAAATTGATCATAGTAACAGCAAAGACAATATTAATCAAAAGAATCCTGAAAATCCTGGTTTCCACTAAAATATGAATCAGCACAACTGTTTTCAACATTGATAATAGTCAGCATATTAGCATGGTTTCTGAAGGATCATGTGACACTGAAGACTGGAGTAATGATGCTGAAAATTCAGCTTTGCATCACAGGAATAATAAAGTATGCTAAAATAGAAAACAGTTATTTTAAATTGTAATAATATTCCACAGTATTAATGTTTTTACTGTATTTTTGATCAAATAGATGTAGTCTTGGTGAGCAAAAGCATAACAAATTATTACCCACCCCAAACTTTTGAACAGGAGATCAGAAAAAGTTTTTGTTGACTGCTTATGTGATGTCATCTTGCATCATAAAATACGTTGGCATAATCTCATAATACATTACTATAAAATGATACCTGTCATTGTGAAAGACCAGCGATTCTGATCCTTGCCAAGTACCAGGTGTGACCAACACAGTCCAAAGTTGAGAATGTTGAGCAAATCCTTATCCTGAAACGTTACATTACTGATCAACAGAGCAAATTATCCAATGGGAAACAAGCCAATTCTCTCTTAGTCGGCAGTTTAAACATAGGAATCCCAAATGGGAAAACGGCACTTATTTTAACTGTTGAATTACAGTATAATACTATGAAGCACTTGCAAAGCAGACTGACGTATGTGAATATTCAAGACTGAAATTACATAGTAAACAGAGTTTCTAGAAAAGGGCATGTCATGGAGACTTTTTTTTTTATTGTTATATTTGTTTTATGAGAGGTGAGTTAGTACAAAGTTAATTATCCTCAAAGTGTAACGTGTTGTTGATAACATCCAAGCGGCATATCTGTTGTCAGTTATCGCAAAGATATACAGTTTTTCCTGACCTAATTCTATACGACACCATAAAATGGTAGGTAATCCATATTGGATATTATGATAACAGGAGCTGTCTTGGCAGAAAAAAAAAAATGCAGTTCAGTTATAACCTGTATATTACAGAACTGAGTTAACAGCCTTAAGCTTAAAAATAACGTCAAAGTTAAGCTCCCAACTTCGTATAGAAAATTCCGTCCGCTCAGAAAGCATTCCTAAAGCTAAGTCACAAAAGGTGCCACTGCCGGTGTTGGTAACTCTGATTAAAATGTATATAAAATGCAAATATTTGATATTTCGACACAGACTCTTGGGTAAGGAGAATCCTGTTGTCCTGAAACCACGCAGCTCAAAAGTTCATCTCTAAAACATTAACACAACATTTATATTTGGTGAAACTGATCTGTCATAAAAATCAAGATGGCTGAAATCAGGATTGTCTCTTACCTAAGTGGCTATGACTGTTCGTGTGAGCCCTTCCACCACTGCAGGAAGCGTTAGAGGAGTGTTGTGCTGCTGGGAAGCCCACTGTTTGTCCCAAATCTCTGGGGTCCTGTTGTGTTCTTAGCATTTCTATGTCTCCACAGGTGTTTTATATGTCTCTTTATCCCCAAACATAATCTAATCTGATGTTCCCCATTGTTTCTATCGTTTATATATGTATCCAGGACATGCAATACCTTCAGATTACTGTGATTGTTTTACTTCTTTTTAATCACAGTGGTTTATTTAACTGATTTTAATTCAGATGTCCAATAGAAGAAAGACATGTTTTAGCCTTAAACTCCCAATTCCTATATTCCCACATAACTCCCACTTCCTAAACTCCCCTAATTCCTATATGTCAGTACATACAACTCAACACACTATTAGTTTTATGGTGAATGGTAGTGTTCAGATGCTATTGTGGATCTTTATTTTAAGAGTGCAGATTTTAAGAACATGTAACCTCAGTATTCATCATTTATTTGCTATTGTTTTTGGTCCTACAGCCAGCATTTCAAACCATGTCAAGACCTCTGTTTGTTAAAGTGTCTTGTGCAGTTCTTTTAAATGTGACCACAGCTCTGGTTGGCAGGTCCTCTTTGCTGGACTTAAGGGTTTTTAAATTGTTGTCTGTACTTTCCCTTTAGGCAACAAAAGCCTTCGAGTGAAAAAAACCCAGACATTTTCCATTCGTCATGTTGTGGCCAAGACCTAATACATTACATAGTATTTTAATTTATCAGCATTTACTTCCCTTGATAGGAAGTGCCATGTGTCACTTCTTTATGAAATTAGAGTGTACAGTGACCGAGTGTACTTATTTTTAAAAAAAAAAAATTTTGAGAGCGAGAAATTGACAAAACAGCTCTTTCTGTGCTTTACACTGACATCTGGTGGTGATTTGTATTTCTCTATTTTTCAAAATGCTGTGATCAAATGCTGATGACACCAAGAGCTATCATTTCTTGGACTATTGAGGCTTTGCTGTTTTGCTTTATTGTGTTCATTTCAGCTGCCACCAAAGCCATAACCCATCTGTGTGCTTTCTTTAAAGTTCACTTCACTTCTATTTTTAATTTTTTATTGCGAGTTAAACAAAACTACACCCTAGTAACTAGATCGTAATGCCCTAATTCAGACTAATAAGAACAGAACATACCATCACAGAGCTATTCTGTCATTTTACAGGGATGCCAGTGTTTTTGGCCAGTTATTTGTGTAGATTGAATTAGATTAAAAACTAAATCAGTACTGACAGAGGCATTACAGGTCATCTTGTGCCTGAGGCCTGTAGACATTTCCCTAGCAGTTTTGTGCAGTAAACGTTCCTCCTAACACAGTTAGATGGTGAAGATGGTCTTTAAACTAAGTGGGTACTTTTTCTGTCTTTTTTTATTTTTTATTCTATGTATGCTGTATGTGGCCTTTTGGGCAGAACAGGATAAATTATTCTATATTTTACATATGAATATATCTATTTTTCAAAGTATATGTGCTCAGTCAGTTCTTAAAAGCTATTTACCATGAACGCACATAGGAATTTTAACCAATGCTCTTTAAAACACACTTGCCTATAAAAATCTTAGAGAAACTCCATGACATATAAAGTATGCTGCTCCAAATTAATACTTTATATTTGTCAATGTTAATATGAAACTGTAAGAAACTAGGCTTCGATTAATCATATTCATGATTCTCATCATTAATCTGCTTGTATCACATTGATCTTTGATATTTATTTTTTGTTTTTATTATTTTCAACATCTAAATTATTTTATTTACATTATTTTCTTTTCAATGAACTACCCTCATGTGCAAATGAAATCATTCATTTTTTTCCATTCTGGCTATATTTTAGGTGGTAAATTATTCCTGTACAAAGTCTGCAGTGTTTGTTTTGTACTTTTAAATAAAGCTTTTCTCATGTAATCTTGTTTGATTCAAAAGTCTTGTTAAAAAAAAAAAAAAATCCACTCCCTTTTATCATTTATTTCTTATGAGAACAGATTTAGTCAACAAAATCAACTGTACAGGTAGCTAAAATATCAGTATTCAGTACTGTATGAAAGGGTGTAAAATCTTATTTCCATGTGCAACCACGTTGAACAGATTTGCCTGCTTGATAGGTCTCCTAGGCATAATTGTGCTATATATAAAAGCAATTGTAAATACGGACACCATGAAAGGCAGCAAAAACTAGGCTTCGATTAATCATATTCATGATTCTCATCATTAATCTGCTTGTATCACATTGATCTTTGATATTTATTTTTTGTTTTTATTATTTTCAACATCTAAATTATTTTATTTACATTATTTTCTTTTCAATGAACTACCCTCATGTGCAAATGAAATCATTCATTTTTTTCCATTCTGGCTATATTTTAGGTGGTAAATTATTCCTGTACAAAGTCTGCAGTGTTTGTTTTGTACTTTTAAATAAAGCTTTTCTCATGCAATCTTGTTTGATTCAAAAGTCTTGTTAAAAAAAAAAATCCACTCCCTTTTATCATTTATTTCTTATGAGAACAGATTTAGTCAACAAAATCAACTGTACAGGTAGCTAAAATATCAGTATTCAGTATCTGTTTACAGATGACTAGGTCTACTCTGATTCACAACAATAGACTATACACACCTCACTTCCTTCATCCACAGCTGTAAGGCAGCAATCATTGGCACAAGTCATACTCGCATAATGCTGCCTCTCAACATTCATTTAACAAAGATAACATATATGTCTACTTTATAGACAAAACAAGTCAACTTATTTTGTCTATAAAGGGAAGAGAGCAACTTGGAATCACAAAACATAGGTCGTTACATTTTGAAGTTCTTTTCTTTGCTGAAAGTATTTGCAAAACTTGATCAAATGAACGACTGGAGTTTAATTAGATGAACAAATACATCAACAGATATTTTGAAAACCATTCTCTATCAAGACATAACAAGGTGCGCTCAGAAACTTCAAAAGACGGGGCTTCAAAGACTTTAAATTCTGTTTGGATAGTACTGACCAGGACTTTGAGGTAATGTGTAGTAAATAAACATTTCGGTAGCTTTGTATGATAATTAACTAAATGCATTTCATTTTGGACTGTTTACAAACAATTTGTGACCCTGGACCATAAAAACCAGTCATAAAGATCAATTTTTCAAAATTGAGATTTATACACCATCTCAAAGCTGAATAAATAAGCTTTCCATTGACGTATGGTTTATGACAGGACAATATTTGGCCGAGCTACAACTATTTGAAAATCTGGAATCTGAGGGTGCAAAAAAGAAAAAATCACCTTTAAAGTTGTCCAAATGAAGTTCTTAGCAAGGCATACTACTAATCAAAAATTAAGTTTTGATACATTTACAGTAGGAAATTTACAAAATATCTTTATGGAACATAATATTTACTTAAATGTCCTAATGATTTTTGGCATGAAAGAAAAATCAATAATTTTGACCCATACAAAGTATTTTTGGCTATTGCTACAAATATACCCCAGCAACTTAAGACTGGTTTTATGGCCCAGGGTCACATTTAGGCAAACTGCCTTTTAACGGCAAACAGTTGAGAACTAAACAACATAATTTAACATTAACATGCCCCAGTAACACATGTGCCATTATACACTGACAATGTCACAGGTTAAAGCTTTAACCAACCAAATAATGGCTGAATACAAATGATTTGCAATTGATATACGCAATGATGGCTGAGACTTGCGTTTTTGCATCAGATCTCACACTCTTTGAAGGCCTGGTGTGAAAATTAATGAACCTCCAAATCAAGCGGGGGCAATGCTCGGTCCCCCACTTTGTCCGTGTGGCATGATTGATACAAAGGTTTCAGAGAGCAGCAGACAACAGTTTGAAGTGCGATCTCCAAAGACAGGGCATCTTTGAGAGCCAGTTCAATTCATCCTGAGACCCAGCAGAGGGCTGCTGAGCAAATACTTCAAACGACCAGATGCAATAATAGGTCTCTAAAGTGTCAGTCCCTGATTCATTCCATCTGAACAGCACCCCTTGCCTCATGTTTATCGGCCATGCCTCAGAACGGGTCAGAGAAGAGAAATGGACTCTCCATTACAGGGCTGGATCATCCACCACTACAGAGGACCAGGAAAGGATGAGCTCCAGGACTACAACGAGGAAAACAAAACAACCCCTACCTGACACAGTCTACTTTTATTCCTTGTCAGGAAACTGTTCAGATCCCTTCACTGAGCTCTCTTTTTTAAAAATCATGAGCTGATTTACATGATTACTATCCTCATTAAAGTTATAGAGAGTCAAATACATTTCGGATTAAATAAATAGAAAGATCGGGACAGACGGGGCACTAGAACTCATCATCAGTGTCGATCAGCATCACTTTGTCAGATTTCTTTGAACTCTTGGAGGTGCTGATCGCCGGTTTGCCATTCATGTTGGGTTGCACCACTTCCTGGGTGGACTGCTGGGTGTACTGTTGGTAAGCCGGAGAGAAGTTGTGGATTGCATCCTGAACCATGTCTCCAGGGTTAATGGTCTCCTTCAGGCCACTGGATATGCTGTGCATAGGTGCTACATTCTCTACAAAAACAAAATGAAACAATAGATTCAAGCGTCAAATATCACATGACATATTTCCAATTACTTTAAATGAGCAAATCCGAATGTTTTTGTACTACTAGAACTTAGAAGGGCATGAAACTTGAGGAAGATGTAACCAAAACACAAAGGAAATAAGAGGCAGTATAACACACAGCCTCATTATTAAAACCCATGACATTATGGCTATATAATGAGGTCAACATTTGAGCCCTTGTCTAATGTAAAGGTCTGTTCTCCTGTGGGACCTGGCCGGTGCGGTTCAAGTTTTGAATCAGGAGGGAAAATACTCATCTGCGAGCAGAAAGCAAGAGTAAGAAATGACTTGTGGGACTCCCACAAAATACATATATCTACTTAGTCAAATGTATTTTGTCTTTAAGGCACAGAATCTTGTGTTTTTCATTTGTTCAACAGAAAAAATAAATGGTTATTGGATATTTTCAATGTTGTGTGTGAGAAGGAATTGGAAAAATACCATATGGTGTCAGAATGAGACAGAATCTTATGGGAGACGGGCTAAAATCCACATAGGCCTCTACCTGCAAGCTTTAGTGGGCAGGAGCTAGACAACTTTAAAAAAAAAAATTTTTGTGGGAGAGAGAACCAATCTTATAGGAAAGGGACTGAAAATCAGCACAGACCTCTACCTGTGAGCTTTTGTGGATGGGAGCGGCACAAAATATGAAAGGTGTGGGTGGGAGTGGGACAAAGTAGAATTTGAAACAGGATTTTAAAAATCCACCCTACGCAGACCCATCCCATAATAAAGAACTGAAATACTTAACAGAAAGACTTAATGTACCTAATGTAGGTAAACAGACTTTAAGAGAACATTCACCTTGATGAACAATAAACAACATGCCCAAAGTGACTTAAAGCATTACAGTCATGTTTCACATTTCTGAGGTATTTTGTTTGTCTGGATTACACAATCTGTTAACAGCCGGTGACATTTCGACACAATGCAATCTTGCTATTATCCTCACTCCTGTGAGCACATCACCACGGGCACCGCCAAGGTCCAACCCAGCTGTTCGCAAAATAGAAACCGGGATGAAAACACTAGCAATGCGGTGCTCCACTCCACTGATGTGGTTTCCAAATCACTCTTCTGCTTCATTTATCTACTACAGGCTGGAGAGGCCAGGAAAGAAATTCACAATCCCACAGTTTCCAGATTTGTCTCAGCTGTGGATGCATTAAATGAGGTTACAGAGTACAGCCTGATACACTGCAAAATGATGAGTTCCAGCTAACTCCATCTTGCCTTGTGGATGATGGATGAGAGCTTGGACAAAGGTGACGGCAGGTTGCCACAAGAGGGGTGCATATTTCTGACCTCCTGTTCGAGAAATACTTGAACTGTGCTTGTAGTTCTCCAGCTGCCAGCCTGAAAACTGTACTGTGTGTGAACGGATGGACAATTTGGGACCTGCCCCCATGGGCGGAGGGTGGAATCTCAGGATCCGCAAATCGTCCTGAGCTTCTTCACAGCTGGTCCGTTTGGGATAAAAGGTCATCCTGGAAGGTTATTCTGCCTAACAGGCTTCACGACAGTTGTGACCTTTTATCAACAGTGAAACCAGCAGTGACTTCACCCTTTGAGCTCTGTGGCTCTGTTAAACTATGGAAAATACCACCATGCTTTTATATGCCAGTAAGGTGAAGGGTTCTTAACACATTTGTAGGTTTTCTCACACATACATGCCAGCAACTGTTTAGCAGCATGCTGCAATTCGCTTACTGTGAAAGAAGAACACCTCATGCATATTAACATTTAAACTGACACAAGGCTTGAAACATGCATATCTGACTGACAGTCGATTTATATTTCATGGAGGCCTCTTGAAGTCAGAACACAAATCTAATGCAGCTTTCAACATTCAGCAGCTGAACTGACATTACAGCTTAAATTGGTGGAAATTGAAACAGAACTATTCTTCACCACCTTGAAAAGCACAAGCGACAGAATACGACTAATCCGTTAAGCATGGAGAGGCTTTTGTAGCCTTAAGGATATGATCAGAATGATATACTACAAGCATACTGCTTTCTGTACAGTGCATACTACTATTAAAAGTAGTATGTAAAAGTGTATGATATTGATATGCAACAATAAACGTTTCTGTAATGTTAAAGGAATAGTTCATCAAAACATGGTAATTCTGTCATAATTTACTCAATGAGACGTGTCCATTCTAAACCTGTGAAACTTCAAAGAAGGGGCTTTTACACGTGACTTAATTTACAACATGTCCTAACCATCATTTAGAATTTTTTTTAGCAAATAATAACTTAAATTTTAGTCGGTTTGTTGCACAAAGCAATTGTATGGTTTAAGCCATATGGACTACATTTATGTTTATTTTTTTGGTCCTTTTTTGGGGTTTTACTGATAATGGTCCCTGCTGCTTTCATTAGAAAGAGCTGCAAAACATTCTTCAAAATTTTTCTTTTTATGTTCTGTGAACCAGGGGTGTTGCAGTATATTGGTGCGGTTCCTATCTGCTGAGTGGTTTGCGATTGTAGCTCTGTGTAGCATTGTTTTTCTGTTGGAATCTCTATCTTACTATCACTCTCTGTTGTTTAAACTGCTAAAATATAACTTATCACTATACTTCTGATATTATCCAACAAATTAATGTGACATCATTCGCTTTTTAATCTAAACCGCTAGCCTGTTTGCTTGTCGTTCGTGCCTACCATTTATTTTCTCTCTCGCTCTGCTTTTCACAAGTTCATCAAACAACTGTGGTAAGTTGGAACCATTCAACAATCACAGTGAGTAATGGCTTTTTCTCCTGCTATTGTCACCTGCACTGCTTGCCACATGTATAGTGTAGCTTTCTCTGTCTGCAGTGAGGGATTTACATGTAAAAAAAGCAGGGAACTAGTTCGGCTGACAGAGAAGATTTCAGAACTAAAGACACGCATCCAAACTTTAATTGAGGACAGTAAGAATGTGATGGCCTTAGATACGGCTTTGGATGCGACTAGCTTAGTGAGTCCTGTACATTGTTCAGTTCTGGTTGCAGAGCCCCCCCAGCAGAGCGACTGTGAGGCGGCATAGTCGCGGGACAAAACACCGCTCTTCCGTTCCGATTAAAACTTTAAACAGGTTCCCCCCACTCAGTGACGCACCCACTGAGAAACCTGATGAAAGTGGCCAAGTTATTGGCGATTCTATTGTATGGAAAGTGAAAATAGAGACACCAGCCACCATAGTCCAATGTTTACCGGGAGCCAGAGTGCCTGACATCTTGGCAAATTTAAAAGTGCGGGCTAATGCTAAACGTAAATTCAGTAAGATTGTTATTCACGCCGGCGCTAATGATGTTCGACTTCACCAGTCGAAGATCACTTAAAATAACATTAAAGAGGTGTGTAAACTTGCAAGTAAAGTGTCAGATGCTGTAATATGCTCTGGTCCCCTCCCTGCATACCGTTGTGATGAGATACATAGCAGACTGTCATCACTCAATGGCTGGATGTCTAAGTGGTGCCCGCAGAATAACACAGGTTTCATAGACAATTGGACAAGTTTTTGGGACAGACCTGACCTGTTGAAAAGAGATGGTCATCATCCCTCCAGGGATGGTGCCGCTCTTCTCTCTATAAACTGGGGCCCAGGTCAGGAAGCAGACAGATTTACTAAACCGACCATCTGCTGGCCGCCTCACGTCACAGAATCAGTTAATTCTCAGCACATAGAGACTCGTTCACCTAGATATCATACTATAGAGACTGTGTCTGTTCCCCGAACTAGCAAATACAAAAAAACGTCCAAACCAATTTAAGGGTAACAATTTAATTGACGTTCAACAAATAAAAACAGATATAATACAGATAAACAAATGATAAAGCTTGGCTTAATGAATATTAGATCCCTTTCTACGAAAGCGATTTTTGTAAATAATACGATCCCAGATCAAAACCTAGATGTGCTCTGTTTAACAGATACCCTGGCTAAAACCAGATGATTACATTATTTTAAATGAGTCTACCTCACAAGATTACTGTTATAAACATGAGCCGCTTCCAAAAGGTAAAGAGGGAAGTGTTGCTATAATTTATAGTAATATTTTCAGTATTTATCAGTTGTCTGATATCAAGTATAATTAATTTGAAATAATGGTGCTTTATGTAACACTATCTAGTGTAATAAGTGTTAATGATGAATCCCTACTGACGTTTGTGCTGGCTACTGTATACAGGCCACCAGAGCACCATACAGACTTTATCAAAGAATTTGCTGATTTTCTATCGGAGTTAGTGCTGGCTGCAGAAAAAGTCTTAATTGTTGGTGATTTTTATATCCATGTTGATAATGAAAAAGATACATTGGGATCAGCATTTATAGACATTCTGAACTCCATTGGGGTCAGACAACACGTGTCAGGGCCTACTCGTTGTAATCATACTTAAGAATTAATACCGTCACATGGAATTGATGTTAATGGCGTTGAAATTCCGCAGCAGTGATGATATCTCAGATTATTATCTAGTCTTGTGTATACTCCATGTAGCTAAAGCAGCAAACTCAACTCCTTGTCACAAACATGGTAGAACCATCACTTCTACAACAAAAGACTTTTGAGACTTCTCAATTCCCCAGCATATCCAATAGCTCAGAAAAACTTCGTTGTAACCGAAACTATGGACTCTTTTCTAGCACTTTAGATACAGTTGCTCCTTTAAGCTTGAAGAAGATTAAGGAAAACGGTGCCCTAAAGACAGCAGTTGGAAGAAAACAAAACTAGAGGCATTTCATATTGCATGGAGGGAAAGTACTTCCTCCTACAGAAAAGCCTTAAAAACTGCTAGATCTGCTTACTTTTCATCTCTTTTAGAATAAAAACACAACCCCAGGTATTTATTCAGTACAGTGGCTAAATAAAGAAAAATAAAGCATCAACAGGTACTGACAGTTCCCAGCAGCAAAAACCTTCAAACTGGCTGTTATTAAACGGGTCATATGA